CTGGGCTGTTGAGTGATGTTTGTCACCTTTGTGAGAGGGGGGTTTTCCCGCTAAAATTTATTTACTCCTCATCCCACTTCTTGCTTGAAAAATAAATTTGAGTTAACCAGAAGGTGGAGCAATAAAGCAAGAAATAAAACTCCTAAGCTGTTTCAGTGAAGGGCTGCATTTGTCAGCAACGTTTACAACGATGCCGCTTAAACTGCTCTTTTCCGGAGGTGCACAGAATATAGACAAATTGCTGGCAATGGACACAACGTGCACAGCATGGAAACCCGGCGGGAATGACTTGACACAATCCAACTAAGCATGAACAGTTCAAAACATGAACAACCATCCTTCCATTGAGATACGTTCTTCAGCAGACTAGCAATCAAATAGAAGAAAAAAAGAGCCTTTTTCTAAGTACCAAGGCTGATTCAATTGCTATGACTCTTACAGAGAATCACAACTTGTATTTTAGATACTCCACAACAGAACTAGCAAATCTGATGAATTGGAAGTAAGTGGCCTTAAGTGGGAATTGACTCTGCAAGCTCTTCCACGCTTCGGTGGAAAGACAGGGTGTCTAGACAGCACCAAGGCTCAAGCGCACATTTCTGTTGTTTTTAAGCGTGCCTTTGCTTTAAAGATCAGATGGCTGTGATGCATCTGGAGACACTGACTTCAAGGGACAAGAGATAACATCTAATTAAAAACGTACCTTTATAAAAGACCAGTCTGATCTCATGAGGTCATTTACAATTTTTCAGGTACCTGCAGTGAACAGAGGATAAGGTTCCTTTTCCTTGTTCTCTGTTATTCCAGGTAGAAATGGGTGCCAGTGTTAACATTAATACTTAACATAAATAATACAAATATCTCTGATTTAGATTGTCAGTTTGTCCCTAAAGCCAGTTTTGTTGTGCTTCTCACTGATGTCAGCATAGCAACCCACTTAGGAAGCCAGATTCTCTTTTACAAGTTAAAAAGAAGCGCTTTCAAACTACAAAAGTGTGGATATTGCTGCTTAAAGATAGCTGAAGTACTTTTAGCATGTGATTTTTATTATTCACATATAAATCTGGATAAATATTTAACAAACTCAATACCTACACTTAGATGGGGCATGTTCAGTGCTTTTAAGAGCACTGATTACTGCTTGCCATGGGCTCTTCACCCACAGTGGGAACTTTTATTGCTTTGTAGCCTACAGAACTCTCCAGTGGGTCAGAGGGTTAAAGCAGCAGAAACACAATATGCAGATTTTCTTGGCTCAGCAGTATTTAAAGATAAACAGAATATAAAGATGTTGTCAAAGTCATTTACGTTACGTAAATCGTGAGAAAGCAGAATGTGTGTGTTGGAAATAGTTATGTTTGTTTATTCATTTAAAATATCAGCCATACTTAATGTTTATTTTTTTATGCCAAATTCCTTACATTTCACTGCAGAACTTAATTATCTTTAGATGGGAGTTGTTAAAAGTACTTAATCAGGCTGGCTACCTACAGCAATTCCTTATCAAGTGAAAATAAACATCAACAATAAGCACCCTCATTTTTATACATGGGTTGTCAGACAGTTAATTAGTACTTAATGAAAAATAGGTTCCAATTTGGTTTTCACGGTCTTTCAGACTTGCTTTTTTTTTTTTTAGCAATTCAAGCCCAATTAAAACTCTGACTCTGCTTTCACAGTCAGAGGGAATGTGGAAATGGCAATGCACCAATTGCAACAGGTGCATCATGTCCTTAGTCCTGGCTGGTTTCTCAGAAACACTGTGAAAAACAAGATTTTGAAAATGGTAACTGTTTGCATTGTATTTTTTCTGTGTTGCCAAAAAACCTACCAATGCTGGGCTTCAACACGTCAAAATATCACATATGAAATAATTTTTTCACAGCTACTTGGCTTGCACTTTGATGTTTGTGTTACCCATGATGCAATTGTTTTTGCCTTCTGCCTCCTGTTGCTACAATAAGCCATTTCCCATACATGTCATCTCCAAAGGGGAAAAGACCGCATGGAAACAGAACAAAGAAAACAGAACAAAAGAAAATCGGGGATTTTTCCAAAGGCCCATTTGATGTACAAGTATAAACAGGAAAAAGATGCCTGAGGAGGCAGGAGCCAGGAACTGTACCAGCGGACAGCTGTTAACTTGTGTAGTTAGCAGCACTTTGGGATTCTGAATGGTAAATAAATAAGTGATTCCAACGCACACAGTGAAGAAAATCCTTGCTTTGGTACCTTTAGTGTAATGTTTAAGTGTATTGCAAACTCCTAGCAATAGAAGTTGAACGTATTTTACCTTCATGTCTGTCTTGTAACACCAAGTCCGAGTATCGATAGCTCTTTTGGTTCTAGCCCCAGAAAAGGCAATACGGCAGGATACGTAAATAAATAAGTGATTCCAACGCACACAGTGAAGAAAATCCTTGCTTTGGTACCTTTAGTGTAATGTTTAAGTGTATTGCAAACTCCTAGCAATAGAAGTTGAACGTATTTTACCTTCATGTCTGTCTTGTAACACCAAGTCCGAGTATCGATAGCTCTTTTGGTTCTAGCCCCAGAAAAGGCAATACGGCAAGATATCAGAATAAAAAGTATAGTCTGCTGTGATGAAGCAAGAAAAAATAAGGAACACTTCACAGCAGAACTCAGGAATTCATACGTGAGGCTAGATTTTAAAAAGCCCAACATGTTGCTCCTGAATCTTGTTAAATATTTGTTAAAAAAATTCAAATGAGAATTGCTCAAAAATAAACTTTAAAACTGGAGTTCCTGTGGTAGGTATTAAGTATTCACGAATCTGGACCACAGTGTTTTTACCTTCTTAATTAGTTTTTTTCTAAAGTGAGAGAGGCAAGGTTTTAAAGACTGACTTACTATCCGAAATAATATCTCATGAGTTAAGAGTCTTGCTTCTTCCCAATGCAAGTTTTTAATGTCACATTTAATTTACTGTAAGTATGCTTGGGCTAGAGGAACTGATCTGCCTCCACAGTGGAGCCTGGTTTACTTACTGCTTTGGTGAGAGTACGGGGCGCAGGGAAACTAGTATTTGCATACCAAAACAGAAAGCAAAAGGCATGTTATGGAAAAAAATTGCTACTAAGGAGAAAATACCCGGCTCTGCATAACAAATATAATGCAAGCATTTTCTCTCAGGAAGAGGGAAAATATATTTTTCAACTTTGTATTTCCTCTGCTGTTCTCTAGTCTATTTTTTTCATCCCTAATTTCCGTTTTTCCTTCAGATCCTTACTTCTTTTGTCTGAGTCCTTATTCTTTGTAGCTCTTCTTTTGTCTGAGTCCTTATTCTTTGTAACTCTCCTCTTAAAACATCACTCGCTCTGTTCTTGGAATCTGTGTAGGACTCTCCTGTTCCCCTTGACAACAATGTGTTTTGCTTCAACAGAAGCAAACTTTTCTGTTTCATGTGTTCCCTGTTTACCAGGGTATCTAATCACTGCAGTTATCATCACTGCTCATTCCAAGCCCTGTTTTGTCAGACTGTGCCCTGAGCCCTCTTTTCCTGAAGAGAAAATGGCCTCTTATTTACAAACCATCATATCCCTGCCAAAATTTCCTGTGCTGTATCAACTTAACTCTATTTTCTGTTAATTTCTGCCCACTACAAATTCACGTCAGTCCTAGCGGACATTTAATTTGTATCGAAATCCTGAGCGAAG